ACCTAAGTTAGAGGAGCGCCGACTTGAGCTGCCGCAGAAGTTTAATGGATGCCTTGAACGGGCGGTTATTACAGTGTTTCGCAGGTGTTTATAAAGTTCATGAAAAAAACGCGGTGAGCTTTGAAAGCACGTCGACCGTTGGAAGGGCAGGGCAAAAGCTCGACGGCGGCGGGAAAAATGGGGCAGCCTGATTGGCGATCACCCGTTATGCGGCCGCGGGAGGTTGGCGGATAAAGGCTCAACAAGTCGTTGATCAAATCTTAGGCTGACCCATCTGTATCCTGTTTTACTGGATTGCGCCGGGCACCAATACGGAAACCAGTCGGGCAATGAAATGTTGCCGCTATCGTACGATGAGTACAAGCGATAGAAATTATTTATGGGGACATTTGAGTGATTCGAGTTTAATGCGCGTGTCTTCGATTTGTGTGTAGCTGAGCTTGTAGTGCGATTTTTCTCTAAATCAAAGTTGGTGTGGAGAGGTCGTGTAAACTTGTTGAAATAATGCCGGTTAACGGCAAACGTGGAGCGTGTAACTACTCGGGCGATGTGAATGTCTACACAAGCGGTCAAAAGTCTCTTAAAAGAATCCGCTGCCATTAAAATTTCTCCCAGTATGTTAAAAGACTTGTTTTATCTTTTTCATGTTTCTTGTGGCCTTTTTATTTGCCGCAGCAGCTTGAAGTAAATGTGAATACAAGTCCGGTTTGATTACATGTATTAATCACCAAATCCAAATGTTGAGTGAGATATTACCGAAAGAATATATGTATAAGTACTCTTCACTGGAAAAAAAAATTGGATCTAGAGTTCAGACTCTTAAAAACATCGACAAGAAAAAATACTCTTGTTTCAATCAGATTTAAGCTTAAATCAAGAACGAAGCCTCTTAATTTAAGCGGATTTCCATTTGATTTAAGCTTAAATCTGATTGAATCAAGAGTCCTTTTTCTTGCCAACATTTCAAGAGTCTGGACTCCAGATCCAATGTGTTTTTTTTTCCCGTGTTGCATGGCCTTTTTTACAGACGCTAACTGTGCAGTTTAAAATTTTTCATTGGCGTGTCTATGCCTCGTCTATGCACTTTTAAAAAAAGTGCGTCTTTATTTATGAAAATTACAAATAGACCGCATCACCCAAAAACCTAGCTTTACCACCGCATTAACCTTTCTAGTTTATCCATGAAATCACGTAACTGCATTGAGAAACTAATAGCACACGTATATTGTTTCTAAAGCAAGTCAAATAGTGAATTCCCTTTTGAGTAATAAGGTTCAGTTGAATGATCCTCGTAATTTCAGTTCCTGATGATTCTGATAACTGTATCAACTCTTCGACAGTATTAGCAACATAAAAAATGAAAGCAGGAAAAATGGACATTAGCAGTTTTTGCACGGCACAATGCAATTAGAAAACTTCATTTAATCTAATATTTTACTTAGCTCAAAATCAAGTCAATGGTAGAAAATACCTGTTTATTAATTTTCCGACGAGAAAATCAGGAGCAAAACGGAAACCGGAGATGAAGCGGGTCTTCGTGGTATAATGAACGGCGCATCTGGCCTGCAAATTTCCGCGATTTCGACAAGGAAAGTCTGCACGGAGCAAGGCCGGAGGAGGAGCCCAGCTGAGGCGGTGAAGAGGCAAACGACAAACGACGTGAAATTGAGCAAAGCAGTGCGATACTGACCTGTTTTCCTCTCGCGATTTAGATTTGGTCGACAAATATATGTGCGATGCTCCAGCGTTGTCTATCCACGCTTAAATCTACCGGATTCCTCTCATCCTCTCTTACAAAATAATATAATACTTTCGTTCTTATCGTATACCTATTTTCCCCAAAAATGGATCTCGGAGGAAAATGCCTGACCTGAATTCGTATGAATGGACTCTCCTTACGTACACACTTGCGTTTAAAATTACTTTAATACTCGAATAAAATACTTCGATAAACGCACATCGCCCGGCAATATCAAGAATACACTCGATGCCTCTTTTTTTCTAAGTGCTCATAATAAATGAACTCTGGAAAATGAACTTTTCAACGCCCTTTATAACCCCGATTAGCTATATCCAAACAAAACTTTGGGGTTAGCAAATCAATGTTCCCCACTTGACAACAATTATACTTATTCGAAATTCTAATTCTCACTAATAAATTCAGTCCCCCCCCCCTCCCACAAATCTAACACTTCAAAGTTGGTCGTGTTTTTATTTTGCATTTTCTAGAAAACATCTTCTACACATCACTTATCAACCATCAATAACTAAAGATTCTTGACTTGCCGCGATATTATTTCAGGTGTTCATTAACGCCAGCTCATGACTTAGCTAAGAACTTCTCATACAAGGCTTTATAATGATAAATTAAAATAAATTAATCAAGGGAATTTTCCGAAAACTCCCCTTCTCTTTAAATAAAAAAAAAAAAAAAAAAAAAAAAAAAAAAAAAAAAAAAAAAAACCCAGAAAAAGTTAAGTTTGTTTTGAGGCGCTCCTTCTAGGGAGGCATGAAAAACGTGAAAAAAGAGTGCAACTGAAATTTCTTCATTAGAACCATAAATCTAACATATTTTCGAACGACTCTTGCGGAAAGTCCGAAAATGTGCCAAGCATACTATCAATTTAAATACTCATTTTAATTATAGTTTCAAATAATTTTCCCTTGTAATAGGGTGTCAAAGATATTCTTAATTTTACAATCTATTTTCTTTACCTTGCGTTAAAGTCTCCTAGGTTTTCTTCATCGTGTGTCTAAGTTTCCATAACAGGGTGGTCATAACTATTGAACCGCATCTTTTAAGTGACTAAATTTATAAGAATGAGATAATTAGTACTTATTAACACCCTGATTTGGAGGAAAAATTCATATTTTTGGGCATCATGAAGCCGTCATCATACCAAAAAGAAAATTATTGAAGAAAAAAAGAAATATTCAAAAAGCTTTCAGCTTTTCTTGATAAGGACAATATTATCATTGTGCGTCATAAATGCATTTGAAATAATAATTTCACTTCCAAATATCGTGTTACGCTATACGAACTACTCCATTTTAGAAGGTTTGACCGGGCATATCAAAAACATTGGCAAGATTATCTGTAGAAGTTAGTTTTTTTCAAAAAGTTATTCTGTTTTTCCCTCAAGGACTTCGCTTGCAGATTTTCTATTCAACAGTCAACAGGGGCACAAATCAATCTTCGGATCCCAATATCAAACCGAGATGCCCAAGAATATTCATGAACGAGCGTTTTGCCGCCAAAATGAGTTAAATTATGCAAAAGCTAAGTCAAATACGCGCTTTACAAACGACGGATCACAACAATTTTAAAAATAAATCACTATGGATAAGAACTCATAAGTTGGCTGTCTATTTGCATGGGCTTTAAAAGCTCCATAACCTATGACCTCAGAATTACCGACATGTCCGTACATTTTCTATATCGTCACCTTTCGGCCAAAGTATCACAAGCGCCATGCGACGTTTAAAAATTTCCGCCGCTATTTTACTTTTTACAGAGAAAATTTTCAACGAAGCTGTCCGCAAAATTTCACTTATTTTTCTTCGTGGTGCCGCTAAAAATGAGTGAAATGTTCAAACAGATTCAACCAACAATTTCTCTGTAAAAAAGTACAATTTCCGCCGCTATTTTAATTTTTACAGAGAAATTTTTCAACGAAGCTGTCCGAAAATGTCACTGAATTTTCTTCGTGCTGCCAATACAATTCAGTGAAATTTCCAAACAGATTCAACCGACAATTTCTCCGTAAAAAATAAAATAGCGGCGGAAATTTTGAAACGTCGCATGGCGCTCGCGAATCGCGATCCTTCGGCCGGAAGGTGACGATACAGGTGCTCTACCCGAGTGTGAGTGGTCGGTGTTTATGGTCGCTGGACGGCAGCACTGTGTGCGATCATTGGCGACGGTCTCTCTCTAATTGACAATAAATAGAAGCATGCGTGTAAGTATTGTTGTCGGGTGTCGGACATCCTCCGTCCCCCTCCCCGGGGGGCTCTCCTCATTGTTTCGCTCATATTTTTCAGATGAAAGTCGGCATTGTGCCCCGTCGAACATTTTTTGCTTGATATTTTCATTTTTTATCCGCGCCGACTCGGCTCCGTCTCGTGCTATTTTCATTCCGATCCGACTCTCTCCGAGTCCGAGCTCCCGTTCTGCCGTATCATAGAAGAAGTACAATTTAACATGAGCCTCGAGACCTATAAGGGCATGTGCTAACCATGGCTCATACAGGAATGCACTTACGGTTCTCTTTCGTACCATGGTAGCGTTTGAATGGGTGTTCGTACTGTTCGTGGCCAGCTACGGCGCTACAGAGGCGTCCACTCCAGTATTTTTACCCGTCAATGGGTCAGCTTCACGCGTCCTTGTAAAACCGGGAACGAGGAATGTGGCAGATAGTTGACATGTCATACTCATGCTAAAGACAAAACATTTGAGAGAAATACCTCGAGCTTGGAAACCGTTATATGTTCATGAGAGCTGCTGTCACAGCGCTCTCTGGTGCTCCGCGACTCTTAGCCGCCAAAGTCCCCGCCTAGAGATGTACTTATGTATTCAGGAAGTATAGGCGCTGGAGCTCATGGAGCCATTAGGATGAAAATTTAAAAATAAGGCTGTGGCTAAAGGTGGGAGTGGGTAAGACGATTTGTTGCTAACCCGTAGGTTTTGATTTTAAGTGTCATTTCAATCGTATCAAGGCTTTTTTAAAAGCCATTTATTGGGGTCATTTTGATAATGATGTGTTCCAATATATTCTGAAACTTCCCACCTTTTCAAAAAATAGCAAAATCACAGATTTTGCTTATTTAATGAGAGATTTTTTACGTTCTGAAAATCGAAGTCGAAAAAAAGTTTCAATCTACAAAAGCTCTTCCTCAGATATTAGTTGCTGTTTTCTAAAAATAGACTGCCTCCTAAGCTTTACTAATTATTTATACGTACTTAATTCCGCATCAATTTAAATATTTATCTTATTTTTCAGGACGAGGGAAGAAGAAAATGAAAAAGATGATGGGCACAATGATGATGATGATAATGGGCAAAATGGCACTGATGGGTCCCATGATGATGATGATGATCAAGATCAAAGCCATCAAGGCTCTGCTACTCAGTAAACTGGCTCTTGCTATGAGCTTGCTCCAGCTCTTCAAATCGATGGGCAAAGGCAAAGGCGGTGGAGGTGGCGGCAGCGGAGGAGGAAAAGAGGTAAAGAAATACTGAAAATCTGACAGTGACGAGGCGTGAATGATCGATTATCGATATTTCCCTATTTGAAGCTATGGTAAAGAATCGATTATTAAGGTGTTTGTTGCGAATACCCTGTTTATCGATCTTTTCCATAGGTTTAAATGGCATAACTATCGATATATCGCAAGTCACGCCACGCCACTGAATCATGAATCTAATTGCGATGATTTACGTATTTATGCTTGCACAGTTGCAAACTTTGGCTGAAAAACTTCTGAATGAATTGAGATGAAAGATGCATCGATGGCTAATATTGTTCATAGAATTCCCAAGAGGTGTCAAGTTCTCATGCAAATATATACTCTAGACAAAGTAAGATTTGACAGAGATGGATTTCTGGTGAAGATCGGCTGGAATCTCGAGATGAGAAAGTATCAAAAATGAACTTCTTGGAGACAATGGACGTTGAAGGTACATTTGAGCACAAAATCATGACCAAGCAGTTGGTGTGGTATCGGCATGTGCAGAGGATGACTGAAACTAGGTTGCCGAAGAAGGCATTGGAGTGGGACCGGTGGGACCCCCCAGGCGTCGAAGAGGGCTTCTAGCCAAACGGTGGGTAGAGGGCGTCGGGCGTCCATCAAGAAATGGAGTGATGCTAGCTTCCGGAGGATCTTTACCACGACATATTCCTGTAGCGCAGAGCGCCCTGGCGCGCCGTAAAAGCGACTTATACACACATATAAAAAGTAAGATTTAAAATGTGAGAAAATAAGAATGTATGTGGCAAAATAATTTGTTGGAGCAAAGCATTGAGCATTCAGTTATGTAGTTTAAAAACGATTCTCTCGTCTCTCATTCAAAACATTTGTAACCTATTTGTTAAAATTCAATAGGGTGAGAAAAACCAGTCAAAATTAACTCAGTGTACGATTCGACTTCTGGATACTTCTAAATTATCTTTGAGGAGGGGGGAGGGGGTTAAAATAATAGGCACAAAGAGCAAGAATGAGCCATTTAGAGTTTATCAAACGGAAGTCAATTAATGTAAGGCCAACCCTTATATTACGTATCTTACCCTATAATACAGGGTTATCCAGAAGTCTGGGACCCCCCTTATAACTTTTGAACAAAAAATGCTAGAGATTTGAAATTTGGGGAATGTTCCTAGGTCAAAGGGAACTACTTTTTGGCGTACCCAAAATTTTGGGGAGCGCCCCCCCCTGAGGGGGGCGGACCCTAACTTTTTTTTTTCAAATAGGAACCCCTATCTTGTGATACATCATTCGAAAGGGCTTGAAAAAAGAAAACTTTTGGCGCAAACCGATTGTCGATACCTCAATTTTTAATAAAATGGCGGCCAAAAAATGGCGGAAATGCGTTTTTTGGTTATTTACCGTCGGATTCGCTTGAAACTTGGTTTCCACAGGTTTTCGAGCACGAAAAAACAAATACGATATTGGATTTGCAAAATACCCGAACTTTTCCAAGATGGCGGCCGAAAAATGGCGGGAAAATAAGTTTAAATCGGAATGTGTCAGATTTCCTGTGCGGTGCTCTCAGCCAGTTGAAAATCGTGTTTCCTGACTTGTCATTTCAACCACCCAGGACTCACCCCGTGGTTTGGTTGTTTTTTTCGTGCTCGAAAACCTGTGGAAACCAAGTTTCAAGCGAATCCGACGGTAAATAACCAAAAAACGCATTTCCGCCATTTTTTGGCCGCCATTTTGTTAAAAATGGAGGTATCGACAATCGGTTTGCGCCAAAAGTTTTCTTTTTTCAAGCCCTTTCGAATGATGTATCACAAGATAGGGGTTCCTATTTGAAAAAAAAAGGGTTAGGGTCCGCCCCCCGTCAGGGGGGGCGCCCCCGAAATTTTGGGTACGCCAAAAAGTAGTTCCCTTTCACCTATTAATATTCCCCAAATTTCGAATCCCTAGCATTTTTTGTTCATGAGTTATGAGCGGAGGCCCAGTCTTTTGAATGAGCCGCCATTTTTGGCCGCCATTTTGTTAAAAATTGAGGTATCGACAATCGGTTTGCGCCAAAAGTTTTCTTTTTTTAAGCCCTTTCGAATGATGTATCACAAGATAGGGGTTCCCATTTGAAAAAAAAAAGTTAGGGTCCGCCCCCTCTCAGGGGGGGCGCCCCCCAAAATTTTGGGTACGCCAAAAAGTAGTTCCCTTTGACCTAGGAACATTCCCCAAATTTCAAATCTCTAGCATTTTTTGTTCAAAAGTTATAAGGGGGGTCCCAGACTTCTGGATAACCCTGTATAACCAATGTTACCCAATAATATAATCTTACCCTATAATGTAAAATCATTAGAGTAAAGCGTAACGCACAACGCCTGATGCACGAAGCGCTTTGGCGGGTTGGACCGCGAGGCGGTCAGGGAGCGTAGCCCTCTTGTTTTGTAAACGTTTACGATTTTTGTGTTACTTTTGTGGGAAAACGTGCCTAAATAATAACATAATTTTTATAACCAGGTGATAATCGTGCACGACAACCACGGTGATAGCGGCGGCGGCGGACACGGTGGTGGCGGAGGCGGCTACGGAGGTTCGGGCGGCGGCTGGGCTTCAGGCGGCGGAGGCGGCGGCGGATGGGCATCAGGCGGAGGCGGCTCCGGCTGGGCCTCGGGTGGAGGTGGCCACGGAGGCGGCGGCGGTGACAGCTACGCCGGTGGAGTCCACGCTGGAGGCGGAGATGCCAATTACGCCGGCAGCGACGCAGGACACGGAGGCGGTGGAGGCGGCTGGCCTGCGGGAGGCGGAGGCGGCGGTGGCTGGGGTAGGCGGAGCGGCTACGACGGGCCGCCACAGTGGATGCTCACCTACAGGAATAACTACAACCAGTACAATGGCCATGCCCAGAACGGAGCCCAGGAGTCCGAACACTAGTTTTCCTCGGAAATGCCGAAGACATTTCAGAAGAGGGGACATAGCAGGATTGGAGGCAACCAATTAAGGGGCTCAGAGGACAAGGCGCATAAGTACGGTTTTTGATATTTCGAGAAATAAGTATTTAAGTCTTCAACATTACTTGGAGCCTAATGGCAGAAGAAAGTTCAAGGTCAAGTTTTGATGCTTAAAAATTGGATTTTACCAATAAATTTGTCTCAAAATATACTTCAAGACTAATTTCGCATGAAGTCACTAATATCTCAATTTTTCAGAAACTGCACTTGGGCGCCTTGTCCTTCAAGCCCCTCAATTGGACTGCATTTTGCAGTTCGGAATTAAAATGTCTTACTCGAACGTAGAAACACATATGTCTATATGAAAACTAATGGTACATACGTTGTTTCTACACTGAGCCAGAATTTGTAGTTCTGAATTGCAAAATGTTAGTTCAATTACGTGTAGGAGTGATGAAGATGCTGATTATGAAGATAGCTCTAGACTGATCAATCTAGACGGTTTTTTCTATGAAGAGGATGATATACTTCTTCAGAGTATACCTATAAAATTCCACCAAGGACGATCGATTCGGACTCAATTTTAAGGAGAAGAAAATAATTGCTTGATCCAATCAACTTGAATCTTTACTAAGAGAAAAATAATGTAGCACTCTCATTTCCGTTGCCTCTGACTATCTAAAATTAGAAGAACCGGTTGTGCTTTAGCTAAAAAATTTGCTTGTCCTCTCTCCTGAAATTTCAATGAGAAAGACTCGGTAAATACTAAAGAAAAAAATCACAGGAAAGTCCTGCAAATAGTCAAAATTACTGAGCTTGAGGTGAGTTGGAGCTTAAAGTCCAGAGCGGAATATAATTTTCTGTAAATGTATTCGAATTTACTCCATGACCTGTTTCCAGGCTCAGGAGTTCTTCAATTTCAGAGTCTCCAACGTCTCACGGAGAAGAATTTTGACAATTGTATTTTTCCTTGACCTCTTTCTTGAGCCAATACTCATTTTCTATTTCGTGATGACTAGTTTTAAGGAGGAGCTTCTTTCAGAAACGCATTCTGTCAGCTGTTTAAATTGATTAACACAATTAAATGAAATTTTGTCCCCTGTTTTTGTTAAAGCTCAAATAGAAGAACTTGAGATGTAGACCTCCTGACCCAAATTGAAATCAAAGGGAATAGAGCAGATCTACAACCTTGACCGAGATTGTGTTCCTGAAGTAAGCCCCTCAAACCTCAATTGCCGTTCCACCAACTTTTGTTTGATCCCAGTGACTTTGTATAGAAAATCCTTTCTCATATGTTACAAATAGATGTACAGAAGACTTAGGGAGTTTTGAAAAGAAGTCTTCAACACCAAATAATATGGTTGAAAAAATGAAAGAAGATTATATGAATTTGATATAAAAGCACAACCGCCTAAATCCTGGAGAAAAGTTTTTTTGAAATCATGCCCACCGCTGAATTTGATGAACTCAATTGATACCGATTTTCTCGTATTGTGGGCATGAGATTCTTTGAAGAAGATCATCAACATCTTACAATTTTTAGTGTCATAATGCATTTTTCAGTTAAAAAAAACTGACTAGAACGGCTACTAATTGATATTACCAAGTGCTATTTGGGAGAAAATGGGCGCATTTGAACGTTTCAAAATGTACTTTCATATGTTTTGTCAGCTGCATATTTTAAAAAGACACATATCATTCCAGCATAACAAATATATAACACAAAAAACAAACTGGTGATGTGAGATCAATCTGTGTAACTATTGAAGTAGCACTACCTACTGATACAACTTTTTGTTAGCCAAAATTATATATTTTTGTTCAACTGGAGTTCACTGCGTCTTATATGCGTATTATTACGTAGCGTAAAGTTCAAAATGGTTGAATTTTTGTAAAGGGAAAAAAAAATTATGAAGACAAACTCAGTCAGGAAATTTAAAGAGGTAAAGATTAAAACTTCCCTCCCCTAGGCTTGTAAACTTTTGTACAAATCTCAGTTCCTAATGCCTACTCTACCTTTTGAATATTCTTTTAGTGGACTATATTTTCATTCAGAGAATTATATTAATCCTACTACTGTCCTGTTTGCAAAGTGAGTGTACTGCGATTCTTTTCAGAATTTTTGTCAATGATTCATCGTCAATTCATCACAGGATTTTATCGAAGAAAATTAAATGACGAAAATATATTGAAATCAGATTGAATGTGAAATTTGCATTGAATTTAACTTAGACTGAAGTCACTTCAATTTTCTAAACTAACGCAAGTCTACATTGATCATGTGAATGAGTCAGCTCTCATTTGGACTTAACCTCAATTTCTAAATTTTTATTTCATCTGTAGTTGTTAAAAACTGAGAATGATCTGACTGTGGTTTCGCAAATCATTAAAGCGAAATGAAGACTTGAAACTTAATCATTTCATCATGAAGTGTCTTAGGCAGGTATCAGTACATTACTATGACCGAAGAACCAAACCTACGACTACATAATAATGGTATACCGGATATAGATAGAGCAAAACCATCGATCTACGTATGACTTCCAGTACAGAGTTACTTGATTCTTGCTTGGCAGGGCTGGTAGTGAAACGGTTAGAATTGGGCGCAATTTGCACGGCTCATAATAGCGCGGGAGCTATGAAGTCCAAGGGGCGGGGTGAATGGCAGATTGTTTGACCTTCTTTATTCAAATAAAATCAAGTGGTTACTGACGAGTGTGCAGGCACGATGCTTAACCGTGTTTGGGTTCACTGTGACAGATGAACCGCGTGATAAGCTAACGGTGAATGCGCCATAAACGCACATCGCCCACGCATAAGCGCTGTTGACAAAATTCGCAAAATTATAAAGTAGGTCAGGAATATAATAATCCACAGACAATAATAGATTTATTTAACACTCATCACATCATCCAAATGCCCATTGATTATTGTAACTCGGGAAACCTGAATCCGTGATAGGAAAAATAGGGCTCCATTGATCACAAGTCTCTTCAGTAGAGGTGCATAATTTCGCAAATCAACCGTCAGATAATGCTGTTTTCTTTCCTACTTGACATTTTAATCCTAAAATAGTCATAAACGCTCATAACAATATTAGCAATTGTTGTACCCAGGCGTTTAAGTCTCCGAGTCAACAAACAGTGAATCGATCCCTGGTTTAGCTATCGATTGAAATAGATAAAGTTTTATATCACAGCGAAAACCGTTAAAAATCCATTGATGAGGTTAGATCGAGGGTCAATAATCAACGTGCAAATCTCTAAAAGGATCGGTTTCAAAGTTGTTTTCTAAGAATCGGCAATGAATAAGACATTTTGCTTTGCACCGAATAAGTATTCTAAAGTTTAAAACACTGTTAGATAACAGCTGTAATTTTTCATAATCTTTCGGTGATAAATTGCTGAACTTAAGAAGATACAAAAGAAAAGTATTAAAAAAATTTCGTTTTTTCGAATTTCGTTTAGTCTGAAATTATTTAAAATTATAAGATAAATCCAACATTAAAAACACATAATTTAGCATGCATTGAGCAAAAGCTCTCTAATCTCCAGTAATTAAATTTAAAATTTGCAAGAAAAGTGCTCTTTAAACTACCTTACCGGCATAATTTATGAGGTTAGGCATACATTTATTCAGGTTAATAACTGCAACGGCTAAATGACATCAAAGTCAGCGCAGTAAAAGTAAATTAATTTCTCATCTATGCCAGGAAAAGTTTTGAGCGTCTGGGTCGAATCGACCCTAGAACTTGACACCGCCCTTCACCTAGCATCGAAATGACTCCATTGTTCACGTTCTCGAATGATGCGCTTGCGTGGAAAAGTGCATCCATGGCCCGATTTTTCGAGTTCCGCATACTTCCGTGGGTCCTAGAAACGGAACGAATGTTAATTCGGTTCGTGGCAGGTTCAAATCCACAAAAGCGCGGTTTCGCGGTGCTCAAAATGCAATAAAGCAACGCCGTCACCCCATTTAGAGGCTTGCGACGTTGCCATGCTGGTACCACTCCTCATACTTGCTTTGAGAATGTGTATTAAAATGCAGTTTTCGGTTGATTTGGCAACGGAGCGAAGCTTTTACCCGAGCTCATCTCCCAGATTGAATTCGAATGTGCGTTACGCGCCGCGCGGATATCCTCATTAATTTGGTAATTGAAACGCACCTCACGCAAGCAGTGGCGTGGCTTGAATTGCGATGTATCGATTGTTATGCCATTTAAACCTATGGAAAAGGATCGATTGATAGGGTGTTCGCAGCGAACACCGTAATAATCGATTCTTTACCATGGGTTTAAATGGCACAACGATCGATATATCGCAATTCACGCCACGCCACTGCACGCAAGCATAGCGCGGTTGTAAAACCGCACTTTGCCCCTGCGGTTTTGTGTGTGCACTAGAATTCGTTCACGAAACCGCGCGATTTGGAAACGATTTTGAATAGATTAGGTGAATAAGAATGCCCGGTGGAAAATAATCCAAACACGCCTCGATTTTTTGTGACTTTCGAATACTAATCGTCGTTAAATCGTTCACGCATTGTTTTTTTTTAGTGACGTCTATTTTTTTTTGTAAGAATGAAAGAAATCAGGTACAATAAAAATGTTGGCCACTGTTTTGGGCACTGTATACCTGGAAGAATGCAAATCCTGATTAAGGTCACATCGGAAGTTCAGAAAGTTCGTGAGAGGAGATCAGAATTTAATACCTACTCAAAAGCACCATTTTGTCAGACGAAAAGTTTTCGAGAGAGAAATTCCACTCCATTGAGTTCTAAAAAAAGGACATTCGTTGATTTTAAATTGCTTCGAGGGAAGCGGGATGGAGAGTACATAAACCATATCTTTAATGCCAATGAACTGTCATACAATGTCTGATAATTGCATAAAAAAATGACAGCTATGGTAGGATTTCTATAATGATCAGGAGTTTAGTTTTGCTTTGAGTTCGGTTGCTGCTGAAGGCTGTAAGGCTCGGAAAATATCCTCATTTTAATGTATCGCTTTTTACCGTAGTACCCTCTAATGAATTGCCCACAACCTCATCTTCCTGTCTTGATGATGGAAAAAGCATTTCATCATCAAAACTAGGTCAACAAATATTCTGAAAGAAACCAAAATTATACTCACTACACGTGCAAGGAGACAGTTATCAGGTTATCTTTATAAAATACTCAAAAAGCGTACCTCTTGTCTTTCCGTTTGAAGGTAAAAATTTCTCCATGACGATGTACAAACCAAATCGTATCTGTGACGTGACTATTAAAAGGATTAATTAATAAGAGGAAAAAAGTTGCACAGCATTGATATATTCTTTTTATTAAAAATATTGTGCCATTCTCATGATTTACATATTTTTCACGCTATTTTAATTGCTCGTTGACTTATAAAACAGGTGACTTTTTTGAGCATTTATTTTCTGTTATTGAAATGTAAATAAGCGCATATACAAAAGTCAAGATTTCTTGTTACCTATTACTACAAATCGGATGAGAAAAATAAGTTTTCTAATTTTGTGCTGTCAATTTTCCATCACTACTTCATTTTTAGAATTTGAACATTATTTACCATTCGCATAAAACAACATGTCTCATCATTAACTTTAACAGTTCCACGGTCGAATTTAAGAGATGTTATTACATGTAATACTTTGTCACCTGTTTTATACTTACAGCAATGCTTTCAAATCACACTAAATTCAATGTGTCACAGTATTTCAATTGTTCTCCGTTTGAAAAAATGGCAAACCTTAGTGTATTAAGTTATTTATTTTCGGGTCGCCGGACCTTACGGTATTAGGTTATCAGGGTGCCTTAATGTGAGGAATTCATCCACCCGTTTTATCATAATACCCTCCTAAATTTTGCGACGATCATGACGGTAAATATGTAGAATTATTTTTTGTCCGGCTACCCTGTGAATTTTGTTTGTGTGTTTCGTATTTTGTCCATCTCCGTCTCCCAACTAAGAAGGAAAGGAGATTAACCTTTCACAAATCTTGATAGGTTTTTTAATTTATTATTAATTTATTCCTTTTAATTTATTTGTATATTTGAAAATATTCCTGGTGTAAATATATCATTAAGAATTAATTTATTTATGAATAATAATAAATTATCACAGATGGTGTGTGTGTGTTCTAATTTTCTGGATTCCAAAGTATCCTCGTATTTTTAAAAGAAAAAAACCAAAGGTCGTCATTCTGAGCCAATAAATACCGATCAGAGGTAATGTTGTTCACATTACTGCCAGTAAAATAAATTTCATTACAGGAATATTCTAGCGGTATTCATCTCTTACTAAGTCAATAAATAAAGATTCAAGTGAGATCTTTATGCAGCTACAGGCCCCTTAGATACACCATAGAGTGTTCTAAACCAGCATCGTCCTAAAGTCACATAATGCACATCGAATGCCTCTACTCTAAACTCGCAATAGTGGAACGGCAGATGCCAATCGGAGGACATGTGATCAATATTTTCCTGAAATATACATTACGCAAGTTATCACCTACTTACTCTTCTAAAGATCAGCGCATGATCAACAATTACCTAACTACAAGAAAGTGATAAAGAGAACATGGGTAACAACATCACATTAAGACCATCAAAATTATATAAAATCCATGATGCTCTCATTATGTTGTGATGCATTTTTCTTTACTTGATATAGTTCAATTCTCTCATGATACAAACAATTAATAAGTTAGTTAAATGGAAGAGTAATTGATCCTTTCCACAAGAAACTACGTGGTAAGGCAACTTTTGAATGACTAGGATATTTCGATTGGTCCTCGAAAATTTGAGAATATTTTACCAGGGCAAAGCAAAAAATGACCTGAGGGAAATCTCGAGGTCATATTCTAAATCAGCTGAGGTAAATTTTTCAAACCAGATGCGAGATACGACCATTGTGACAGCTGAGTAGAGTAAGGATGTAGGTAACATGAAGACGATTTTCAATTTTCACGATGCATTCTCATAGGAAATTAATTATGGAGTATGGACCAGCAGATCTATTGAGGTTTCATACTTTACATGATTTCTTCATAAAAAATTAAATAAAAAAATAAATAAATAAATAAAGAGAAGTTTGGCCCTGGATGGCAGAATAAGGTTCGTGGATCATTTGGATGGCAACGACAACATTTATGATATCGTCACCTTCCGGGCAAAGTATCACAAACGCCATGCGACGTTTCAAAATTTCAGCCGCCATTTTATTTCTTTACAGAGAAATTTTTGGTTGAATTTGTTTGAAAATTTCACTGAATTTTATTGGCAGCACAAAGAAAATTCAGTGAAATTTTTGGACAGCTTCGTTGAACAATTTCTCTGTAAGAAAATAAAATGGCGGCGGAAATTTTTAAACGTCGAATGGCGCTTGTGATACTTTGCCCGGAAGGTGACGATATGTGGTTGAATATGATAGATCCTGTGATATATGGTTGAGTATTAGGGTTAGTAAATTTAGGTGCTGTTCCATCAATTCACCACAATCCCTCCAGGACAAAAAGATTATGAATTTGATGCACAGTAGTTTAGTTGACACTAATAAATTCAAAGATGAGCACCGGGTGAGAAACCATTGCTGCCCTACAGAAATGTCCTGTCTCTGATAACTTATCATTTTTTGCTTTATGCTGAAGGTGATTCCCTACTCCGCGCACAAAGCGAAAAAGAACAAGTTATCTGAAACGGACTCTAGTAATTTTTGAGGCAGAATCAGTCTTATCATTAGGAAATATACGTGATAGAACTTTCTACCACTTAAACGCTGGACATCTCCAACATGATTTTAGTCGCGGTATCCGAAAATGGCACGGGACTGATCTGCTATTTTCTAGACAGAAGGTTAGGTATACCTATATTTTAACGTTGCAAAATTTCTACACGCAAATTGTGTCTTTACGAGGAAATTGTTAAGCATTTCAAACTGAAGATTCTACTGATATTACGTCTGATGACATTAAAAAATGATGAATAATTTAGGCAGTCACTGCACCGTCATATTCTTTTATTTTATCATTGATTTTTTTAAGTTAATACTTCACCACATGAGGTATAAACTGAAGTGGCATGTTTTATGTTTCCTCTTTCAATCGTTGAAAACGATTAATGCATAAGAAAGTTCGGAGATTAACTTCCAAACGAGTTATCTAAATGTACTTTTAACATTGATGAAATGGAAAACAAATCATTCCGAAGACATCATTTGTATTTTTGACATTTCACTTATATGGTAATTATAAATACTATTGTTTTATCATGAAGTTTATTACCCAATTCTCGTTTTGTGAGAGGGTTACGTAAACTTTTGGAGAGAAATACGTAACGGAAGAATTTAATTCGTATCTTTCTAGAGTCTAATTTTGCAATGTTGGAATTGATTCAGTTCTCTCGTCTGATAAACAACGAAATAAGTGAATCAGTAACGAAAAAACAAACACAGTAAAATAGGCAAAGGAGACTCAAAAAGAAGTATGCGCGGGACGTGTTAAGGTCATCTCAACCACTTTACCCCTCAGCGAAAAAAAATCCAAAATGGACCGTGTTTAGCAGAAAAAAACTAAGCCACATCAGCCTCTAACTTTGACTTCGATATTTAATTTTGCCAAGAGAGTATTCGTGCAGATTTTTTCGAAAATTGTAAGTAATTTTATGCGTACCGCGCACGACAAAAAGCAATCGTTTTCGTATAGGAAATTAAATTTGGC